TGAAACATTTGGCCAGAGATGGTCTTCAAGTGATGGCGAGGCCACCAAAAGGAGAAGGTGGGTGTGTTGGAGTGGACTCCCCATTGACAGACATGAGTAGAGGGCTGAATGAGAGAAGATGGGAGGAGTCTACTGAAGTCCATAATGATGTTAGCGGGCCCATTGTCATTTCCCCTTTAAGAGCCGTGCCGCTTTAAGACTGTATGCTGCTACAGAGACTTGATTGGCTCGGCTCTCAGCCGGTATGCTGCACTGGACTACCACTCCCAGCAGGCTTTGCGCTCGGGAAGAGGCGCGCGCTCAGATCGGGGAGGGATTTGGCAGCGGCTGGATGTAGTGTGAAGTGCTGCCTCAGGGGAGAGATCAAACCTGAGGTGTCCGCTGACCAGTATCTGTGATTCCAGTGTCCTGCTCTACTCCTGGGGGATTAGAGCATGAAGGTTCTACACGTCTTGTCTCTCGGGGTCGCTATGGCTGATATGACACTTCCTGTTCTAGGCCGAGGTGCGTGTCACTTCCGGATTGTTTAGTGTGAGGGACGGACTCGCGACTTTTGTCTTCTTCCTTCGGAAAACCGTGACCTCTGTTATCTTCTGGTCGATGGGTAGTGCCCATTGCTGCACCGTATTCCTCCAGCACTTCCAGGCTTGTAGGCCTCTCTCTCTGTTGGTGAGAGTGATAGGAGGTCGTCTGCATACAACAGGAAGTTCACCTCTGTGTCATGTAGAGGTAGTCCTGGTGCTGAGGAGGATTCTAGAGCTTCAGCCAGTCCATGGATGGAGATGTTGGAGAGGGTTGGACTTGAAGCTGCGGCCTTGTCTAACTCCACGAGCCTGCCGGAAGTACTCTGTCAACTTCCAGTTCAACTTTGTGCTGCAGAAGTCCTCATCATATGAGCCCTTGATGACATCATACGTGTTCCCTCCTATTCCACTCTCCGGTAGTTTGAGGAACAGGCCCGGGGGCCACAGGAGCCATAGGCCTTCTAATTGTCCCATGGTTAGCATTGTGGACGTGGTTCTCGATAAGACTGTGCGGGGTGTAGACAGGGGCGTAACTAGAAATCACAGGGCCCCATAGCAAAATTTAGTATGGGGCACCGTGATTTCTAGTTACGATCCTCCCTCACCGGGCCCCGCCTCCTCCCCTGTTGCCGACCACGGGCCCCGCCTCCTCCACTGCCCGGTCCAGCCTGCTCCACCGCCGCAGCCGGCTCTCATTGACTCTGTGGAGATTACCGCCAGTGAAAGCCACCAGCAGAGGATGCCATAGCGACCCAGGCGGCCCGCACGGCATCTGGCCGGGGGCCACACCTTGCGATTGTGACGCCAGTGGGTGTAGATGTGATCTGTAGGGCAATGGTTTGGCAGAACCGAGCACATGGGAACCAAGCATTGAGGTTAGTAGACGTGATAGAAGGACGAGTGGTGGAGGAACCAGAGAGAAGAAGGTGGACTATGTGGACAGTGAAGACCTCAGACGTAAACATGTTCCGGATTGTTGGAGCCGATAGAATTGAGGTCTATGATACACCTCGGGGTTCCGGTGACCTCGGTCTCCTCATAGAACACTCCGCATGGGGCTTGGTGGGAAGGTGGATGAAGATCATAGAACAAGAGAAGGTCCCTCTGACACTGATGAATGGAGGGTCTGAGGGTCATTAGTCCATGGGACAGTCCGGCCTCTATGATGGAGGGGGGGCCGGAGCACTATGGTGGTACTTTCATCTCGTGTGATGATCTGTCCTGAACCCGACTCGGCACCCGGGACAGTGAGGAACCTTTGTGACCTCTTGGACAATGTGATTGGCCGGGAGCCGCCGAATGGGAGACAAAGACCCGACATGGTCAGATTTATGAGGGATGATGACACCAACTTAATGGAAAGACACTATTACTTTTCCTGTAACCTCGGTATACTACAGACCCCCTCCATGTACCTGGGGTATACTAC